ATGGCTTGACCCTCTGTCCTTTGATTGCACTGACTGGGCTGTTACTCACCCGGAGATCCGTATGGCCTTCAGCTTGCTGGAGCCTTTTGCCTTGATTCGCATTGGATTCCTGTCCTCCTCACCCCATGGGGAGAAAATGTTCGAATTGCCTCGTTTGATGCATCGGGGGAATTGCATGCTGTCCTTGCTGGCATTCTGACTAGAGTAGTGCATGCTCTTGGATTCACTGAGATCCACTTTGATCACATTCCCCGTACATGTGCCGTGAAGAGTGTATGTGGTGCTGTTGCAATCAATTTCCTGCGTAGTCAGGTCGCTGTGTTCCCTCGTTTAGGCACCAACTTTTCGGCATGGGAAGAACATCACTGCCTACAAAGAAGGTTCATCCAGCATGTCAACCGTGCCACAGAAGTGCCGAGGCCATGGTTTTGGGGGTCGGGTCCCGATGAAGGTGAAGCTATTATAGTGCCAGCAGTGGGCTTGCTGTACTTACTTTTCCGGCCGTACAAGGTGGTGATGCCAGTGAAGCAAGATTGCCTTCACAACCTCATTTGAGGAATGTGCACCAGGTTGAAATTTGCCAATCAGCCGTGCAAGATCTTCTTGGTCTCTCGGTTTTCCAGTTGAAGGAGCGTGGATGTCCCTCATTTTTACGTTTCAAGACTTTGTGCTCCACCGAAGCTCTTTGATCTCCGCTGTGGATCGCCAACGTCTGTTGCGAGTTCAGTTTGGTGTTTCGAAAGATGAGCTTCGGTTTCACCTGCTATGATTCAGGGTGGTCGAGTTGTCAGTTGTGTTCGGGTCCTTGATCCACTTCTTGTCTCGTCGTGGGTGCACCAGGGATCACTTTCGTGTGAGGACATTGTGCAACTTTTCAAGCACTGCGTTTGTGATCAAATGATTGTCACCACTGTGGTATGTCATCACTTTCACTGGCTGCACATTTTGTTGGTGCCTGCTGGATTGCGTGTGCACATTATCTCCAGCGACCATTCTGATGGTATTCCCGCTTGGTTGGTGAACAGGCTGACTGGATTTGTCTTCGCGTTGGGCTTCCATCGTGTGAGCTGTGATCATGAGGTGCGTGACTTTCCTTGCAGGTCGGTCTGTGGTGCGGTGTCTTTCAATTTCATTGGTTTTCGCCTTGGACTTTGCCCACGTGTCACCAAGTATTCTGCTGTGTGGCATTTGCATGGGTACCTGCGTGACAGATTTGAAGCTGCTCTCATGTCTGCTGGTCCTGTCAGTCGACCTTGGGTTTGGGGTTCTGGTGATGAAGAAAGCTCTGAGCGTTCATGGCCGTCGCAAGATCCTCCCCTCCCTGAGGGAGTTGATGTCAGTGGACCTACTGCCTCAAGTGGAGCTTTTGAAGTGCCTACGCCTGATGGAGTTGAGACTCACGTTTGTATCACTCCGGATCAGAGAATTGACCTCTTTGCTGCTCATGGCCGATCAATGGGTGATGATGAGGTGCGGTTTCATCTGAACACTCTGGTCCAGAAACGTGGTGAGAATGCATCTTCATCTGATTGTGCTCGTCTGGTCTTTTTGGTGTTTGAAAGTCTGAATTTCCTCAACTGGGACCATGTTGGACACATCTTGACGGAGAAGTGGTGCCTCAATCATCCACAAGTGAAATCGCATGGTCATCAGATTGTTGCTTTACTGTTGGAAGGTGACCACTGGCTCCCCATTTGGGCTGTCCCAGCTGGAAGAGTGTTGGTCTTTCACACTTTCGATGACATTGTTGATGATGATATCTTTGATGGCAAACTGCGATGGATGGGTCTTCACGTAGGTTTTGAGGAGACTGTGGTGCACCGAGTTCCCCATGGGCTTCCGTCCCACAATTTCTGTGGTGCACATGCGTTGGCCTTTCTTGCTCACATCCTGCTTGACGCTGATCTTCCTGATTTTGTTCGTATGCTCGACTTCATGGCTACCAATATGAGAGCATCCTTTGTTCAGGCCATGTATGAACGACGGATTTGCATTTGTCCCATAGTGTGGGGCGCAGGTGGCACTGGAGCGCTGGTCAAGTCCTTGGCTGAGGAGTTAGGTCTTCATGGAGTTCCTTGCGCAGCATGCAGAGCAGAGGGCCTCACAAGCCATTAAAGCCATTGGGAGTGATCAACTGAGTCAGGCAATGCAACAGAAGCAACCCTGGCGCCAGCTGAAAGCTCTTGAACTTGAGGCTGTGGTGGCCCTCAACAAGGGCAAGCAGGTTGGCAAAAAGCAGACTCGTGAGAAGATTGCACCTGGTGTGCCTCCTCCACTTGCGTTGGATCCTTCCAAGTTGTGTGTCCTTGAGGGTACATTTCGCAATGGACAGAAGCCCCTGCCTCAGCTGGTCTCTCAGCAAATTGGCCCGGTTAGCAGTGGATTTGTCCTGATAACTGCACAGGAAGCTCATCAAAGCTTGCAATCGATGCTGGCCCAATCCAGGGTGATGGTTCCATGCCGCTGCACTGTTGACAATGAACCGGTATTGGCAGAAGCTACTCTGGTCCAAATCGGTACTGGCCTTGTGGAGAAGTTTGCAGGATCCAATTTGGTCTCTCTGGACTCTCCGGATGTCTGTTCTCTTAGATTCAATGTGTTTCGGGACGAGGTTGATGATTGGGATGCATTTGTCAAGGCACATGTGCGGCAACTTGTCCAGATCTTTCCTGAACTGAAAAGATGCTGTACTCAGGGGCGCTCATGCCCGTCATGGCACAATGAAGAGGAGCTTCCCATCAAGGAGCCCATTCTTGACCTATGGAAGCGGCAGTTTGTGAAGACTGGGTTCAAACCTGTTGAGGCTACCAAGGCGGACTTGTTTTGTGTGTCCATCAGGGTTCCTGCATGTCTCCTGCAGAGGATTCTGAACAAGAGTGGAACTGGTGGGGCTTATGTCGAGCCGAGGTCTGCTGATGGTCAAAGGGTTTTGCAAGACTTCATGGTCATTTGGGCGTCCAAGATGACACATCGTGACTTGATGCACTTGAAGGAGACGAATCCTGCAGTGGTTGGTCTGGCAGGGATAGGTGACCGTCGGGGTCTCCGGGTTCCGGCTGATCAAGCTCATGAAGTTCATCAGGCAGTAAGGCCAGATACCTTGTTTCTGCCTCAAGGTGATCGGGTCCAGTATATTGTGGGACCATTTCCATTTGGACTTGATCGGTTAGGGATCAGCAAAGCCATGAAGCTCTTCAATTGGCAGTGTCGGCCATTGCAGCCTGCTGCCCCTCAGCCTGGTCGAGGTGCTATGTGGATTGTTCAAGGCGTGGAGGAGGTGGCTAATGCAATTGTGCACACTAGCCATGGTGAAATCCTTATCTCTAGGCACCGTCCAGGAGAGTCCCAGGACAAGGCGCCATCTGTGAAAACAATTGCATCGCCAGCCACATTGGCTTTGTGTGGAGGTGGAAGTGGCAAAGATGAGGATCCATGGACTGTTCATGACCCGTGGCAAAAGTTTCAGCCTTCTACAGGTGGTGTCGTTGGTAGTCAAGTTCCGACAGACAGCATGCACCAAATGGAGTCCAGGATTCAAGCTGCCGTCCTTTCGAAGCTGCCGCAGGTGGTGTCTCATGCTGCTCCTATGGAGCAAGATGATGTTCCTGATCGGCTAAGTACTCTTGAGGGCCAAGTTCACCAGTTGATGCATAAGCAGTCACAGATCGAGAGTCAATTTCAGGACTTCAGTCATCATCAAGCTCAACAGGTGACGAACCTTCAGACTCAAATTCAGGCCCAGTCTCAACAGTTGCATGGACAGATTGAGACGCAAAATCAGAGCATTCAAGCAATGTTTGAAAAAACCAGCTGTCGCACATCCGTGGCCTCCTGTCAAAGCGACCGCGGGAGGACGGTGAGTGATGGTGTGGGCAGGGGTCCCGTGTCCCCAATTGCACGTGTGTCGTGCGTGGCCCTGCCAGCTTGCTGGTAGGGACCCTGGTGCCCTTTTACTTGTTTTGTCTTATGGGGTATGCAGCCACAGTGAAGCAGGTTCGTGCTTTCTGCCAAAAGCAAATGCCGATGATGGTGCTGTTGCTTGTCTTCAGTGCGTTGAGGGTTGGTGAGGCCTCTCATCCTGGCCCTGCTGCTGATGATTCCAATTTTGTTGTGGGGGTTGCCAACCCAACCGGGTTGCGTAGCAAAGCTACATATGTGGCGGAGTACATGGCTTATGGGGATCTTTGGGCCATTAGTGAGACACATTTGAGCAGTAGCGATGTTTCGTCATTCAACACTGGCTTGCGGTTTCAACAGTCACCTTCCAGCCGTTCTTGGGTGAGTATCCAGTGCCGTCATCTGAGCATTCAGGCAGTTGGAAAGGGGTTGGTGTCTTGTCCAAAACGCCTGTACGTCACATTCCTAAGTCCTGGCCGCAAGAGATTTTGCAATCGTCCAGAGCCATGGCTGTGACGACTCTGATTGATGATGTCTGGTTGACTGGAGGTGTGGTGTATGGTGAGCCTGACAGTCAGCACTATCCTTCCCGCCTCCAGCACAATGAAGCCTTACTACAACCAGTAGTGTCGTCCGTTGGGTTTTTGTCCGCTGGCCCCAGGTTTGTTGCAGGTGATTGGAACGTCTCTATGGACGAACTCCCTGTTTTTGGCACACTGGCTAGTCTTGGGCTCAAAGATTTGCAGGATGTTGCTTATGAGCGATGGGGTATACAGCCACGTCCAACTTGCAAAGCACGTACCAGAAAAGACTTTTGCTTTCTCTCTCCTGAACTCCAGCAGTTGCTTGTCCAGGTAGATGTCATAGATGATGCCTGGCCAGATCATGCAATTATTCAGGGGCATTTTCACCGGTTGAGGACCTGTGTGTCTAGAGATGTTTGGAGGATGCCTACTGAATTTCCATGGCCCCAAACTTGGCAAGTTGATTCGGCTCTTTGGCGAACCAGTCCATTGGAGCCTGCTGCCAGATATAAGGAGTTGTGGAACGCAATTGAAAAGTCAGCAGTCCGTGTCCTTCCGTTCCCGGTTGCTAAGCATGCCATGGGTCGGGCACAGACAGTAACCACCACGCAAGCCAAGACAGGGAAGTTTGCGCCCATCCGGGTGGGTAGACGTGGTGATTTCCAGCCGCACTTTCATGGTAGTTCGTTTCGTCATGCTCAGTGGGTGAGGCAGGTTCATCGTCTCCAAGCATAATACCAGCGCAGCTGTCAGCATGATCTGCATGCCAACTCGTATGGAGTGCAAGTGTGGGCGGCCATTGTGCGAGCACCTGCTTTGTTGGAGGGTTTGCCCATTGGTGGGAGTCTTGTACTAATAAGGTTCCTCCCTCCTGACCTGTTTGTTTTTACACGCATTTTTGAGACAGTTGTCATTCAGGTTCGTTCCTTGGAGGCTCAATTGATGTCAAGTTCACGTCAATATGCACGCATGCGCAGAGCACGAAATCCCAATGTCATCTTTGGTGACTTGAAGGCAGCGCCAAGCAATGAAGTTGACTACTTGTTGAGGCCTTTGAGTGCCACTGTAGTTGAGATTCGAAGTGAGGATCATGCTGTTGTTCTGTCTCATCCGCAACCGTGGGATGACACCAAACCCATCGTCTGCCATGGGTTGGCTTTGCCTGTTATTCATGCTGAGGAAGACTGCCTGTGGTTGCAAGACATTGACGCAGTGTCACGAGCGGATGTTGTTACCCAACTTCACTGCACCGGAACAAAGGAGGACCTTGAAGCTGCATTTGCCCAGGCTTGGAAAGCACGGTGGGATCGACACCGGGATGTGCCTTTTGAGCGGTGGAACGTCATCCTGGATTTCGCACGTAGGTTCTTGCCCCGGCGCCAGCTTCGTTGGCCGAGCATCACTCCTGAAGAGTTAGGTCAACTTGTTGTCTCCAAGCAGGATTCATCAGCATGTGGTCTTGATGGGGTCTCCATTAGAGATCTGAAAAGTATGCCTAGCACTGTCCTGTCGAACTTTTGTGATATGTTCTCTATGGCTGAGGAAACCGGTCAATGGCCCTCTCAACTGTTGATGGGAAAAGTTGTCTGTCTTGCCAAAGTTGAACAGCCACGGGACGTCATGAACTACCGTCCCATCACCATCTTAGGCTTGTTGTATCGGCTTTGGTGTTCATACCACGCTAGACGCGCAATTCGGATGTTAGACCCATTTCTCCCCAGACACTTTGTACGGCAGTAGGGCTGCGAGATATGCCGGGCAGGTGTGGAGCCAGCTTCTCTGGGCTGTGGAAGCAGCGACTGCACAGGGTTTTTCCTTGTCGGGTCTTATGGCTGACCTACAGAAAGCATTCAATCATTTGCCTAGATTGGTTGTATTTGAGGCAGCTGCGTTGTTGGGGATACCTATGCCAGTACTTGTGGCTTGGGCCGGAGCATTAACTGTGCTTGGAAGGCGATTTCAGCTTGGAGCCCATATGACCAAACCTGTTTACAGTGTCACAGGGTTGCCTGAGGGTGATGGATTATCCTGCCTGGGCATGTTGGTGGTTGACATCCTGTTTCATTGCTGGCACAGCGATTTCTTTCCGCTATGTGACCTATTTCGTATGTTGATGACTGGACGATCATTACAACCGATCCAACCCGCATGCGTGACATCTTTCACTGTCTTACTCAGTTCATTGAAGCGTTGGACCTTCTTTTGGATCAGAAGAAAACTTTTGTGTGGTCCACTAGCAGCCAGGGCCGCCAGTGCCTTCGGGACCAGGGTTTTACAGTGGTTGACAGTTGCCGCATGTTAGGAGCACATGTCCAGACAACTCGCAAGCATACCAATGCTACTCAGATGGTTCGTATCCATGCACTGCAGTCCATGTGGCCTAAACTGAAGTTGTCCGCGTCGCCGTATGAACTGAAGATCCGTGCAATCCGTGTTGCTGCCTGGCCTAAGGGCTTGCATGCCATTGCTTCCACTACGGTCTCGCTGCAAACATTCTCCAATTTGCGGTCTGGTGCCATGAAAGGTTTAGCTGCTGATGGGTCGGGATGCAATGCAATGGTGCATCTTGGTATGGTAGAACGGCCAGCCACAGATCTGCACTTTTGGACAGTTTTGCATACCCTACGAATGGTCAGGGACTGTGGTGTACCAGAAGTTGTCCATCCTGCGTTGTGGGAGTTGGCTCGTGGGAATCAAGAGTATGCCACCAATGGGATCTCAGCTACACTGCTGACCCGTCTCCAGTTGCTGGGGTGGCACATCCTGTCACCTACGTTGGTAGTGGATGATTTTGGCAGCTTTTCCCTGTTGGCCATTTGTCTTGCGGAGCTGCAGTGGAGGATGGAATGGGCTTGGGTTAAGGTTGTGGCCGCCCATGTGTCCCACAGACCTGGTTTTGCTGCTTTGGAGTGTGTTGATCCAGTCCGCACCAGGCAATGGCTGGCCAAGTTGCCACTTGATGACCGTGCGGCATACCGGAAGTTGTTGAATGGTGCTCACATTACCCAAGACGGTAAACACTACTGCCAGGAGTCTGATTCTGACTTGTGTCCGTTCTGTGAATGCTCTGACTCTCGATTCCATCGGTTTTGGGTGTGTGATGGATTTGATGACTGCAGAGTTGGGGTTCCTGCACATGTCATGGCCCTTGTTCCACGTCTCCCAGAATGCGTAACATGTTATGGTTGGTCACTCAGACCCACCACTTACCATGAGTGGTATACTCACATCTTGATGCACTGCCCTCCAAAGATGTTCCTGTCATGCCTTGGCCTGAGTTGGGGTGTGTCCATGTCTTCACTGATGGCACATGTAGCAATCCTGGCTATGCTGACCTGAGATATGCAGCGTATTCGGTTGTACTTGCAGATGCATCAATGTGCCGTCCTGCGGTTTTGTTGGACAGTGGGCCCTTGCCTGGTGTTCGTCAGACTTCTGTGAGAGCTGAATTGTATGCCATCATGCGGGCGGTTACAGTCGATTCGCAAGTTGTCGGGGTGTTGCTTTAATGATTTGGTCTGACTGCCAAGCTGTTGTGCGCCGCCTCCGCAGGATCTTACTAGGTGCTGATGTGAAGATCAATTCCCCCAATGCTGACCTGTGGACCTTGATTGCAGAGGACGTGATTGCCGGGACCCAAATCCAAATCACGAAAGTGTTAGCACATCGTGATGTCTCTGCCGCGAACTCGCCTTTGGAAGAGTGGTGTTTTCTCCACAACCAGTATGCGGATAGAGCTGCTGCAAGGGCTAATGAGTGCCGTGATGCATCTTTCTGGCCGCTGTTGGCTCGACATGCGAGTGCGTGCAGGAGTGTTGATGAGTGGAACACCACTATTCAACAGGTTCTTTTGTTGGTTAGCCGGAAAGTCCTGTATCAGGCCAGACCGTTGGATCCCGTTGAACCAGTTCCATCAGAGTCCCTTCCTCTGCCAAGGTGGAAACCGTTGCCTCCTTTACCAAGCCCTCCGGGGGGAGCCATCAGATGGTATGGATGTGCCATTGTGACCAAGTTGATGAGGTGGTTTTGGGACGCAGTTGAGTGTGAACTGGGACAGATGGCATGGGTATCTAATGCGCAGCTTTACATGGTCTTTGCTCTGACAACTGGAGAAGCGGGCCCTGTTCACATTCATGGCTGGAGGGATAGTGCAGACATGCCGCTTCATGCACTGAGGAGCATTGGGTTCAAGGAGCGAGTCAGGTGGTTTGGCAAGGTCCTGCGTGAGACTCTACGACACGCTGGTGTTTATGTGACTTCCAGATACTGCCGACCTGCCAGTCACATGATTTGCATGCACGCAAGCTGTTTCGGGGCTCCGTGGGATCCTGGGCTACTTGATGCCGTAGACAGATGGATGATGAGATTTGAGCAGTAGCGATGTTTCGTCATTCAACACTGGCTTGCGGTTTCAACAGTCACCTTCCAGCCGTTCTTGGGTGGGTATCCAGTGCCGTCATCTGAGCATTCAGGCAGTTGGAAAGAGGTTGGTGTCTTGTCCAAAACGCCTGTACGTCACATTCCTAAGTCCTGGCCGCAAGAGATTTTGCAATCGTCCAGAGCCATGGCTGTGACGACTCTGATTGATGATGTCTGGTTGACTGGAGGTGTGGTGTATGGTGAGCCTGACAGTCAGCACTATCCTTCCCGCCTCCAGCACAATGAAGCCTTACTACAACCAGTAGTGTCGTCCGTTGGGTTTTTGTCCGCTGGCCCCAGGTTTGTTGCAGGTGATTGGAACGTCTCTATGGACGAACTCCCTGTTTTTGGCACACTGGCTAGTCTTGGGCTCAAAGATTTGCAGGATGTTGCTTATGAGCGATGGGGTATACAGCCACGTCCAACTTGCAAAGCACGTACCAGAAAAGACTTTTGCTTTCTCTCTCCTGAACTCCAGCAGTTGCTTGTCCAGGTAGATGTCATAGATGATGCCTGGCCAGATCATGCAATTATTCAGGGGCATTTTCACCGGTTGAGGACCTGTGTGTCTAGAGATGTTTGGAGGATGCCTACTGAATTTCCATGGCCCCAAACTTGGCAAGTTGATTCGGCTCTTTGGCGAACCAGTCCATTGGAGCCTGCTGCCAGATATAAGGAGTTGTGGAACGCAATTGAAAAGTCAGCAGTCCGTGTCCTTCCGTTCCCGGTTGCTAAGCATGCCATGGGTCGGGCACAGACAGTAACCACCACGCAAGCCAAGACAGGGAAGTTTGCGCCCATCCGGGTGGGTAGACGTGGTGATTTCCAGCCGCACTTTCATGGTAGTTCGTTTCGTCATGCTCAGTGGGTGAGGCAGGTTCATCGTCTCCAAGCATAATACCAGCGCAGCTGTCAGCATGATCTGCATGCCAACTCGTATGGAGTGCAAGTGTGGGCGGCCATTGTGCGAGCACCTGCTTTGTTGGAGGGTTTGCCCATTGGTGGGAGTCTTGTACTAATAAGGTTCCTCCCTCCTGACCTGTTTGTTTTTACACGCATTTTTGAGACAGTTGTCATTCAGGTTCGTTCCTTGGAGGCTCAATTGATGTCAAGTTCACGTCAATATGCACGCATGCGCAGAGCACGAAATCCCAATGTCATCTTTGGTGACTTGAAGGCAGCGCCAAGCAATGAAGTTGACTACTTGTTGAGGCCTTTGAGTGCCACTGTAGTTGAGATTCGAAGTGAGGATCATGCTGTTGTTCTGTCTCATCCGCAACCGTGGGATGACACCAAACCCATCGTCTGCCATGGGTTGGCTTTGCCTGTTATTCATGCTGAGGAAGACTGCCTGTGGTTGCAAGACATTGACGCAGTGTCACGAGCGGATGTTGTTACCCAACTTCACTGCACCGGAACAAAGGAGGACCTTGAAGCTGCATTTGCCCAGGCTTGGAAAGCACGGTGGGATCGACACCGGGATGTGCCTTTTGAGCGGTGGAACGTCATCCTGGATTTCGCACGTAGGTTCTTGCCCCGGCGCCAGCTTCGTTGGCCGAGCATCACTCCTGAAGAGTTAGGTCAACTTGTTGTCTCCAAGCAGGATTCATCAGCATGTGGTCTTGATGGGGTCTCCATTAGAGATCTGAAAAGTATGCCTAGCACTGTCCTGTCGAACTTTTGTGATATGTTCTCTATGGCTGAGGAAACCGGTCAATGGCCCTCTCAACTGTTGATGGGAAAAGTTGTCTGTCTTGCCAAAGTTGAACAGCCACGGGACGTCATGAACTACCGTCCCATCACCATCTTAGGCTTGTTGTATCGGCTTTGGTGTTCATACCACGCTAGACGCGCAATTCGGATGTTAGACCCATTTCTCCCCAGACACTTTGTACGGCAGTAGGGCTGCGAGATATGCCGGGCAGGTGTGGAGCCAGCTTCTCTGGGCTGTGGAAGCAGCGACTGCACAGGGTTTTTCCTTGTCGGGTCTTATGGCTGACCTACAGAAAGCATTCAATCATTTGCCTAGATTGGTTGTATTTGAGGCAGCTGCGTTGTTGGGGATACCTATGCCAGTACTTGTGGCTTGGGCCGGAGCATTAACTGTGCTTGGAAGGCGATTTCAGCTTGGAGCCCATATGACCAAACCTGTTTACAGTGTCACAGGGTTGCCTGAGGGTGATGGATTATCCTGCCTGGGCATGTTGGTGGTTGACATCCTGTTTCATTGCTGGCACAGCGATTTCTTTCCGCTATGTGACCTATTTCGTATGTTGATGACTGGACGATCATTACAACCGATCCAACCCGCATGCGTGACATCTTTCACTGTCTTACTCAGTTCATTGAAGCGTTGGACCTTCTTTTGGATCAGAAGAAAACTTTTGTGTGGTCCACTAGCAGCCAGGGCCGCCAGTGCCTTCGGGACCAGGGTTTTACAGTGGTTGACAGTTGCCGCATGTTAGGAGCACATGTCCAGACAACTCGCAAGCATACCAATGCTACTCAGATGGTTCGTATCCATGCACTGCAGTCCATGTGGCCTAAACTGAAGTTGTCCGCGTCGCCGTATGAACTGAAGATCCGTGCAATCCGTGTTGCTGCCTGGCCTAAGGGCTTGCATGCCATTGCTTCCACTACGGTCTCGCTGCAAACATTCTCCAATTTGCGGTCTGGTGCCATGAAAGGTTTAGCTGCTGATGGGTCGGGATGCAATGCAATGGTGCATCTTGGTATGGTAGAACGGCCAGCCACAGATCTGCACTTTTGGACAGTTTTGCATACCCTACGAATGGTCAGGGACTGTGGTGTACCAGAAGTTGTCCATCCTGCGTTGTGGGAGTTGGCTCGTGGGAATCAAGAGTATGCCACCAATGGGATCTCAGCTACACTGCTGACCCGTCTCCAGTTGCTGGGGTGGCACATCCTGTCACCTACGTTGGTAGTGGATGATTTTGGCAGCTTTTCCCTGTTGGCCATTTGTCTTGCGGAGCTGCAGTGGAGGATGGAATGGGCTTGGGTTAAGGTTGTGGCCGCCCATGTGTCCCACAGACCTGGTTTTGCTGCTTTGGAGTGTGTTGATCCAGTCCGCACCAGGCAATGGCTGGCCAAGTTGCCACTTGATGACCGTGCGGCATACCGGAAGTTGTTGAATGGTGCTCACATTACCCAAGACGGTAAACACTACTGCCAGGAGTCTGATTCTGACTTGTGTCCGTTCTGTGAATGCTCTGACTCTCGATTCCATCGGTTTTGGGTGTGTGATGGATTTGATGACTGCAGAGTTGGGGTTCCTGCACATGTCATGGCCCTTGTTCCACGTCTCCCAGAATGCGTAACATGTTATGGTTGGTCACTCAGACCCACCACTTACCATGAGTGGTATACTCACATCTTGATGCACTGCCCTCCAAAGATGTTCCTGTCATGCCTTGGCCTGAGTTGGGGTGTGTCCATGTCTTCACTGATGGCACATGTAGCAATCCTGGCTATGCTGACCTGAGATATGCAGCGTATTCGGTTGTACTTGCAGATGCATCAATGTGCCGTCCTGCGGTTTTGTTGGACAGTGGGCCCTTGCCTGGTGTTCGTCAGACTTCTGTGAGAGCTGAATTGTATGCCATCATGCGGGCGGTTACAGTCGATTCGCAAGTTGTCGGGGTGTTGCTTTAATGATTTGGTCTGACTGCCAAGCTGTTGTGCGCCGCCTCCGCAGGATCTTACTAGGTGCTGATGTGAAGATCAATTCCCCCAATGCTGACCTGTGGACCTTGATTGCAGAGGACGTGATTGCCGGGACCCAAATCCAAATCACGAAAGTGTTAGCACATCGTGATGTCTCTGCCGCGAACTCGCCTTTGGAAGAGTGGTGTTTTCTCCACAACCAGTATGCGGATAGAGCTGCTGCAAGGGCTAATGAGTGCCGTGATGCATCTTTCTGGCCGCTGTTGGCTCGACATGCGAGTGCGTGCAGGAGTGTTGATGAGTGGAACACCACTATTCAACAGGTTCTTTTGTTGGTTAGCCGGAAAGTCCTGTATCAGGCCAGACCGTTGGATCCCGTTGAACCAGTTCCATCAGAGTCCCTTCCTCTGCCAAGGTGGAAACCGTTGCCTCCTTTACCAAGCCCTCCGGGGGGAGCCATCAGATGGTATGGATGTGCCATTGTGACCAAGTTGATGAGGTGGTTTTGGGACGCAGTTGAGTGTGAACTGGGACAGATGGCATGGGTATCTAATGCGCAGCTTTACATGGTCTTTGCTCTGACAACTGGAGAAGCGGGCCCTGTTCACATTCATGGCTGGAGGGATAGTGCAGACATGCCGCTTCATGCACTGAGGAGCATTGGGTTCAAGGAGCGAGTCAGGTGGTTTGGCAAGGTCCTGCGTGAGACTCTACGACACGCTGGTGTTTATGTGACTTCCAGATACTGCCGACCTGCCAGTCACATGATTTGCATGCACGCAAGCTGTTTCGGGGCTCCGTGGGATCCTGGGCTACTTGATGCCGTAGACAGATGGATGATGAGATTTTCGCGAGCTCCCTTTCGACGCCAGTCAAGGGAGCTCGACAGGCTGCCCGTGCCGGCGCCTTCGCCACAATAGTGTAGGTAACTACAGCCAAGGCGCTGATTTCGAGGCCTAAATCAGCGTGAAGTGCAAAGAGGTACAAAGTGGTGGTTTGGAACATTATTTTTTCCCATTCAGTGTGGAATAATAATAGTCCCAACTGACTAATCATCATCCCAACTGACGAACTCATATTATTCAGAGGGGTGGCTCAACCACCAAGCAGAAAATGATTGGCTAAGGGGCGAATGAACAGCAAATTGTTGCATTCTTGAACCGCTGTAATCCGCATTTATATTTATATTTATACTTATATTTATATATATATATATATCTACAGGATGGTGCCCCCCAGTTATAAGTTGGTTTATAAACCCCATTACAGTAACTATAGTTATATCTGCCATAAACCATAGTTATCGGAGTTATAAACCAACTTAGTTAACTATGGGGCACCACCTTGTATATATTGTATATAGATTCTCCAGGCCTTCATCAATAGCATTTTACAGGCATATGAAATTGGATTTTTGGGGTCCCAGCAATAAACGAGGAAGGGTGTATCTATCCAAAGATGATATACTCCTATATGTATGTGTTTTTGCAATACACACACATATATATAATTAATCAATTATATGTTTGTTTTAAGTATTTATATATATATATATACAATAAGTATTGCAGAGTTCTGACATGACTCAAAAGACAAAGCCTATTTGACTCGAGGTACTTCCAAGGCCTCTACTCTGCGCCAGAGGGCAAGGTGGGTTGATCCACGTCTGAATCGATTCGTCGAAGACGGACTTGTGATCGAAGATTGTATCATTCATATATCAATCAATCCACCATTAATACTTCTAATATGATCTAATATGTATATATGTATATATATATATACATATGTAATATATATATATACATATGCATTGGATTTTTTGATATATGTTGATTTGTTTAATTATGCACATATATATATATTTGTATACAGATGGAATGACACCCTATTGTCCTGTCACTGTAGGTTCATAACTAGTCGACGAGCTTCAGAAAAGCTGGCTGGCCGTGAGATTCAGCATCTAATGAAACGTTTAAACATAGGTGATGAACCAGTTGGGGGTGTAGTTGAGGTTACACAATTGTATAGCCATGTGAGGGTTTCCTAAAATAGAGGTACCCGCAGTTATCATCCATTTTTAATAGGTTTGTCCATTGTAAACCATCCAGCGAGCTTGGAGTAACCACATGACTATGGAAACCCGCGTAAGTGTGTAGACCCCAATAAGTTGGGATAAACTCTTTAACGCTGACTATATAATTTTATATATATATATACACGTGCAAGTGGAACTGCACTTCCAAGCATTGATGAACCTCATCTTTGAAACTAGCTGATGGAGAGTCGATTAGTTTCCGAATTCACTTTCACATGTTGCAACTTGTTCCGGCCATGATGGTGGGCATTATGTCCCGAGGTAATTGAATGTAAACTTCCTGGAAGTCTATCTATTTCGGGATTCCTCTACATATCTGGATGACATGTAGCAATAAATTCCTAGTGTTCAGGAACAATATCGGTAATAGTCTGTATGTATGTGTATTTAGATAGATAGATAGATATATATATATATATTGTACATATATATATGTACATATATATATATATATATATTATGTATATATATATATGTTATGTACATATATACATATATATTATGTACATATATATATATATATATATTATGTACGTGTATATATATATATATTTGGCCACGCAGTACAAATATAGCAACATCGATATTACATTAAACAAAAAATATCCAATACAGCACCAAGATACCCATTATTTTTTTGTCAATGGCGGATCCGCGCCAGTCTTCCTCTGCATGTGCTGGCCGCGCTTATTCACCCAGCGGAGAGCCACTTGGTGGTAGCAAACCCCCAGGGAGATCGATGAAATCGGGGGATTTTACCAACAAAAAGGGTTGGAACATGGGGATATAATATATTGTGGGGGATATATTGTGGGGATATCATGGGGATATTATGGGGATAATGTCTATTTCTAATAGTAAAAATTGCAAATATAATCAATGGCCATGCAACAGGAACCTATTTATTGCAGGTACCTACCATATATAAGGCCTATTTTTCAGACCTATGTAAGGGAATATCCCAGCAAAATATGGCCTTATATGGTACAGTACCTCCATTTAGGAGCCTGAAAATCCCATTGCTATAATGGGGATATATCTGAATATCATGGGTGTGGAATGACATAGGTTAGACATGAGACCCGTGAGTCTAGTAGGTTTGCTGTGTTTTGGTTTGTATGCGGAACGGCCCAAATGTTGCAAACCTGTAAAAGCCCTCCTGCATGACCAAGTAGCCCTGAGTTTCAGAGACCCTCAGTTGAACTAAATACAATACGTGATAAACTGAACCCCACTAAGCTAGGTCAATCGCAATGCGCAAAGAAATTTGAATTTTAGGATTCATAGGCGCACCATTTACCATTCATAGTCCGTACATGTTGTTCTACGGGGGGCCGGACAGTACTGTAGGGGCCCACAATTACCAAGACAATTGCTAGATATGGATGTGTCTGAAACTGGGGGATACCCCACAACTTCCATTTCATGGGAAAATGATGATAAACTGATAAACCATCAAATTTGGGGATAATCAATGGCCATTTCAGGAACCGATTTATTGGAGGTGCCTACCATATATAAGGCCTATTTTTTAGGCCTATGTACTGTAAGGGGATATACCCCCAAAATATGGCCTTATATGGTACAGTACCTCTATTTTAGGATCCTGGAATTCCCATTGAGATAACCCTGCTCTCAGACAAAGCCGTATGGAACTGGATGTTGCTACATTGCCATTGCATCTTAGACGCTTCTGCAAGCTTCTCTGGTTGGTGGTTTCAAACATTTTTTATTTGTCATAATGTATGGGATAATCCTTCCCATTGACGAACTCATATTTTTCAAGATGGTTAAAACCACCAACCAGTTCTGGTTTTCTGGGTGAAAAATTGCAACTTCCCATCTCGCTGACATCGATTTGTTTATTATAAACTACACTGTTGGTGGCAGGAACCTATTGGTTGGTCCAAATGTTCCCCTGTTCCTTGGTATCTATATTTAGCCGGTCTAGCATTTCTTTATCCCGTAATATGATGTAATATTTAGATATATTTAGTTGGAAACGTTTGAACACCTTTTTCTGCGGAAGTATTGCTTGGATATGCCTATAATTTCCTAGCACGGGCTTATTTGGGTCTACCTCCATCAATCACGTTTCTTCTTGTGATCAACATGTTTTGTTTCCTTCGACAGCATGCTGTTCATACTCTATACTTGCTGGTTGCATCCCCATCATTGCTGCGTAGAAAGATATACCAGTGCTGATGATTGTTGTTTGTCCCAAACCAACATATGGGGGGTTCCAATAGTGGTCTTATCCCCAAATCATACACTTTATCTAATAGGATTTTCCCTTATAAACAATCCATAGTGGGGTACCCCCATAAAACCGGAAACCCTCATATTGGGTTATCCCTGCGTGCGTGTTGCCAGAATCACTAATTGTTGATGTTGTCCCACACTTATGAGATCTTATTACTTGGTGGCTCATCCCACGAATCGTAAGTGGGTTATAACCCCAGTTATCGAAGGAAGTTTAGAAGTCAAACTTCCGAAAATATGGACAGATGAAAAGCAGAGCAGGGCAGAGGGAGAGAGAAGAGAAAGATTAGAAGAGAGAAGATCAGAGAAGAGAAAGAGTCAGAAGAAAGAAGATGCAGATGCGCGAAAAGGTAGGAAAGTCGCGAAACACTGTGTTTTTCCAATGATTTGTGGCTCCGGAGGCTCGAAAAGTAGGCTCGCTAAAGCGGCGGGTGCGGAGCCAGCTGGCCAGATGAGAGATGAAAAATTGCACGCCGTTGTGGCGCGAAGCACATTTCCAAGTCAAAATGTCCAAAACACACCAGGTTCGGACCACTTTTGGCAGTTGAGATGTCGAAAAAGTGCACGCCGTTGTGGCGCGAAGCACATTTCCAAGTCAAAATGTCCAAAACACCTCAGCTTCGGACCACTTTTGGAAGTTGAGATGTCGAAAAAGTGCACGCCGTTGTGGCGCGAAGCACATTTCCAAGTCAAAATGTCCAAAACACCTCAGCTTCGGACCACTTTTGGAAGTTGAGATGTCGAAAAAGTGCACGCCGTTGTGGCGCGAAGCACATTTCCAAGTCAAAAGTTCAAAAAAACTGGCGGTCTCGGACCACTTTTGGAAGTTGAGATGTCGAAAAAGTGCACGCCGTTGTGGCGCGAAGCACATTTCCAAGTCAAAATGTCCAAAACACCTCAGCTTCGGACCACTTTTGGAAGTCAAGATGTCGAAAAAGTGCACGCCGTTGTGGCGCGAAGCACATTCTGAAGTCAAAAGTGTTAAAAACTGGCGGTCTCCGACCACGCTTGGAAGCTAGACAGAGAGACAGATGAAAGAGAGAGAGAGAGAGAGATAGATCGATAGATAGATAGATAGATACATAGATAGACAGATAGACAGGTAGACAGCTAGACAGAGAGACAGATGAAAGAGAGAGAGAGATAGATCGATCGATAGATAGATAGATAGATACATAGATAGATAGATAGATAGATTGGTAGGTAGGTAGCTAGGTGCACCATAGATAGATAGGTAGACAGACAGACAGACAAACAGATAGATAGATAGATAGACAGGTAGACAGCTAGACAGATAGACCGATGAAAGAGAAAGAGAGATAGATAGATAAATAGATAGACAGGTAGACAGCTAGACAGATAGACAGATGAAAGAGAGAGAGAGATAGATAGATAGATAGATAGATAGAGTAATCAAATGAAAGAGAGAGAGGGAGAGATAGATAGCTAGATAGAGAGATAGATAGATAGATAGATACATAGCTAGATAGATAGGTAGGTAGGTAGACAGTCAGAGAAAGAGTGAGAGAGATCAATCGTCTTTCGATCCATCAGTGGCTTCGCTCTGCTATCCCTGATTCACAACAACCAATCTCTCCTATAGGTTTCCTATTTTTGAAACTTCCGCAACCGCCTTGTGCGGTACTACTGGTAAATGGGATAAGTAGGGTTAATCCACTTTTAACTGGGGTTATAACCCACTTACGATTCGTGGGATGAACCACCAAGTAGCGAGTTTAACATCCCATGTCCTTCTCTTTGTCCCTTTGCTTCCACCAGTTGGATATATCTTATATGCCTCTACAATGACGAGAATTACAATTCCAGTCATAAACAAAATAAGAGTAATAAACAAAACACTACTGATTATGATAGGTAATTGTAATGAAAACAAATAATGATAGCAATGATCTTTGATAATGTAGTAACATAGGATTCACATGTATTCACATATATATATATATATGTTAATATATTAAATATAATATAGATGATTTTTCCATTAAACCCGCTATATAGATGTATATGATATATAGCGGTTTTTCCAGATAATAAGTGTTTAATGTCTATAAATATCCATATATCTTGTCAGAACAATAGGTATATCATATGGATATATACCTATTACCCTCTGGTAAATTAACATAGACCCTGAAAATGACCAATTTATAGTGGAAACTAGTCTTCCAACCCCGATGAATGCCAGGGTCTATGTTAATTTACTGGAGGGTAAATGCCATATCCATATATTTTTCTGACAATGTGTTTACCTATTAATGCCCTTGGTTTTGTCAGAACATTCCAGGTTCCTGGCGATGGACTCCCCTCAGCAGGCTGGGATCGGATGGAATCGGCTGGGCTGGGGAAGGCTCATCAAAGACAAAAGCCTGGGGCCCCCCAAACGTTATGTTAACGTTGGTTTAGATTCGCCCCAGCAACTATAGGTACTATAGGCATAAGTACCATAATCCATAGTTATTGAGTAAGTTGGTTCATAAGTTGGTTTAGATTCGCCGCAGTAATTAGTTCGTTATTTGCGTACCATAAATCATAGTTATTGAAGTTATAATCCAGTTTTTTCAACCTACTTACCTTATGTTTGTTGGTTTATAAGCCCCAGAAACTATAGGTATCCGATGGTATAGGTACCATAATCCATAGTGAAATTGGAGTTATAGAACCACCAACTAGATGGGTGATGATTGCATTTTTTTGTAGGCGTCTTTTGTACTATGATTAGAAGCTGCAAGAGGCAAGGAATACACCTTATAGGCCTGTGAAAGTGAAAGACAATTTGTTTCCTTGAAATTGCCATTTGGTGGAAGATTTGAAGAAAACCACTGAATCTTTTGTGTCTGAAAATGAGTATATCTTCCAAATAAGAATTTTGATGGGGAAAACCATGAGAATTTGTTTGAATTGGGTTGTTCGACAGACGCATGCAGTCGGACCTCGATCTACACCTGCATCTCCTGGGGTACACCGAGGACTACCACGATGCAGGGCTCATAAACTATGACTGGTTGGTGGTTTAGAACATTTTTTATTTTTCCATATATTGGGAGTAATAGCCCCAACTGACTTTCATATTTTTCAGAGGGGCAGGTATACCACCAACCAGATGACAATGAATTTCTGACGACATCTGTGTCAGCATCAAACCACGACGTCGCCGAAGAAAAGCTTCGTGGAGGCGCAACAATGGCCTACCTGAGGGGGACGCCAAGCCGCCGCGTCCGCGGTGCCCGGCCATTTAGATAGGTATGACTCTACCAGGGGGTACGCTCTGGTAATTTAACACTTTGCAATTGAAAATGGCCATTGAAATAATTGATTTATCCATTAAAAATTGTTTTCCATAGTTACTTGGTGGCTCATCCCAGGAATCGTAAGTGGGTTATAACCCCAATTATAAATGGGATAAGTAGGGTTAATCCACTTATAACTGGGGTTATAACCCACTTGCGATTCGTGGGATGGGCCACCAAGTATGTTAGCTTACCAGAGGGTAAGCAGATGTAAATAGCTGGTTGTTGTTCGTAACAGCCAGTCCAGTTTGGTCGGGCAATGGTGCTCGAACCCACACCCTGAATATTGGTGTGATAATGTTGTCCATATGAAGCGTATTGTTGTTTAGATAGGTTGTAACCAAGAATGATAGTGAGTGCAGGAAATATATTTACAGGATTTTGTAGAAAGATGACAAGCCGTGGTAGTAATATAGACACATTCTTTACCGTTCACTTACCAATTGTCACAAACTATAGTGTTAGTTTGCATTAAGTGTTGGTTGTTGGTGTTGGTTGCATCAAAACCTACAAGGTGGTGCTCCCGAGATACAACGTTGGTTTACAACCACCATTAAGTATAGAAATGGGGGGTTCCACAAATGGGGACCTAAGATGGATGGTTTATCATGGAAAAGCATATTAAATTGGATGATTTGGGGGTACCCCAATTCTAGGAAACCTCCATATATGTACAAAAATCCAAAGTTATTTAGCTCACTATAGGGCACCACCTTGTATTTTCTTTCATGGTTCTGAAATATTCCCATTTATCTTCCAATACCCGCCCCACATGGGAGCCTCAGGGGTTCTGGATGTGTAGCAACCCCATAGACACGAAAGTAACATCCCACTGCAAAGCAGTATCTGGTTGGTGATTGGAACATTTTTTATTTTCCATATATTGGGAATAATAATCCCAACTGACTAATTAATATTTTTTCAGAGGGGTTGAAACCACCGACCAGGTATGTGTGGGTTACAACAAACAGTTAGAATCCCCTTTTCAAATATTGTAACCCTCCTCAAATAGACAACAGGAATGGTTTCTTCCATTGGATTTTACGAAATGGTCCCTCATGTCGCTTCTATTTATAATAGTTGGAGGTTATTGGACATTCATTCCCTAAATTGGGACATTCAGGTTAAAATTACATTAATAGACATTTGAAAAGTTCAAAAAAAAAGGTATAGTCCATGTCTAGCAGCGAAAAATACAATGATTCCTTGTGTCTCTAATAATCTTGTTTCAGGGACAAGGAATGAATGCCCCACGGGGTCGCAGGCCGAGGGTCGCTGGAGCGCCAAACTCCGCAGCACGCGGAAACCACCAGAGCCAAGCGTGATCCAGTACCCAGCAGTTCTTGGAAGGGAAGTCCTGGTGAGTTTCTTCCAGGAAATCTATCGTAACCCCAAATGATAGAACACTAAAGGATCACTGTTTTAGTACGGTTTGACTTTTCTATAGCTTTCTGGGGGTTACTATTTTTGCACAGGGTGCAAAACCATGAAATTGACCGGCTTAGCATGGTTTGCTCATGGAGATCCAAGAACATGTTGCTGCCCGGCAGATCGCTGTGTCAAAGTTCACTGCGGGTGTGATGTGCCAATGGGGCATCATGGGGCATCATTTTGAGCGCTGAGAGCGGAGCCCAGCAAGGGATCATTGAACAATGGGAAACTCTCAGATTTTGCTGGAGCCAAAAAAAATAGAAATACTGCACCATATATTGCCATATAAATTGGGGGAAAACTTCCTAGGCCCATAGCCCTTGACATGGGCCTTGTATGGCATATATACGTACCTCCATTGAGATGGATAGCAAACAATCGAAGACAGGTTGACTGAGGGAATCCTTTTTTTGCGGAGACTTAAATGATTAGATTCCCTGGAAAGTTGACAATGACAAAAACCATGATATACCCATTGTTCAGATTGCAAAAACTTTCCCTTTAGACTCTCGTTGGCAGTTTCAAACATAGTCTCATCCCCATGCCACTGTGGACATCAAGCCATCGTTGTTATCCTGCTTATTGTCATAACAACTTTGAAGTATCGGTATCTCCCCATGATTGGTTGAAGGGAAAAATGAAACCGGAACCCCCCATGATCTTCATTGATTTTTGTAGAAAAATCGATAATTTCCCGGCCCAGGTACATGGTCACCCAAGCAGCTTCCATGAAAGCTGCCGGGGAGGCCACCCTGAGCTTCAGCGCAGCAGGGAACTTCTGGGAGGTCGGGGGATGTCGCGGATGGTTTTGTGGCAACCCACATGGAATTTTCCGGTAATATATTAGGTCGGTATGTAGAGATGTTGTATTCGGCCGCCGTCACTTCTAAAAATGTGCGATTTCCTGTGGGGAGCGATAGAGAACCTTGAAGAGCGATACCCCCTCAAGTAATGGAAATATGTTGTCATGGCAAGAGGCGTGCAATTTCCAGAGGTTTTGGAGCAAAACTCCCGACACCTGCTGTATCTCAACCAGCAAGACACACCCACACGCTCTCTCCAAGACATTTTCTCTCTCTCTCTCTCTCTCCTCTCTCTCTCTCTCTCTCTCTCTCTCTCTGTCTCTCTCTCTCTCTCTGTCTCTCTCTCTGTCTCTCTCTCTCTCTCTCCCTCTCTCTCTTTCTATCTCTCTTTTTCCCTCCCTCCCTCCCTTCCCTCCCTCTCTCCCGTTCTCCTTCTCTTTCTCCCTATCTCTCTCTCTCTCCTTCCTTCTCTCCTTCTCTCCGTCTCTCCTTCTCTCCTTCTCTCCTTCTCCCCTTCTCTCCTTCTCTCCTTCTCTCCTTCTCTCCTTCTCTCCTTCTCTCCTTCTCTCCTTCTCTCCTTCTCTCCTTCTCTCCTTCTCTCCTTCTCTCCTTCTCCCCTTCTCTCCTTCTCTCCTTCTCTCCTTCTCTCCTTCTCTCCTTCTCTCCTTCTCTCCTTCTCTCCTTCTCTCCTTCTCTCACGCGCACACACACACACACGCACGCACGCACGCACACACCTGCACACATGGGCACACGCGTGCAAATGACTTGAAGGTGTTCAAGAAATAATCGTACATGCTTTCTTCTCCCCATGTCTGTCTTCAGTGCGCAGACAAGCATCACTCCTCCACGATTCTCTGTCAAATTCTGTCAGTGAGCTTGGTCACTTCCCCCCTCAAAGTGCCCAACCATTTTCAAAACCCCCTGACAACAAAAATTCCTCACTCAAGCTTCGCCACTGCTGGTGGAGAAGCTGGAACTAAAAATTGATGTCGGTGAGGCCCGCCACTTGGCTTGAAGGACGCACTTGCGAGCACAAGCCGCTGCCCTGCTTTTTCCGCAACCATTTTGGATGCTTTCTGCCATGCTCTGCAAAGTCCGAAAGCAGCCGCCGTCTTCTCTCCAAGTCTGGGGGTCTGTCTACTTCTGCTGATTTGGGGTATCGCTTCAGGCATCGTTCCCATTCTTTTTTGCCGGAAACATTCTGGTCTTTACTCATCCCCGGTTCGAGTGATCACAAACAACGACGCATCTCTGCACAGGAGGCTGTGAGCATTTTCTCGTAGCCCCAAACGATTTCGAGTGTATATACATACATACATATATATATAATATATATAATATATATATAAATATATATAGCTCAGTTTTTGCAGCAGATCTTTCGGATATTTTTCTGTGTTGCCATGCTTACCGATCGAGGCAAGACATGAGGCGGGATTTGCCTCAGCTGCTGGATGTGAGATCCCGGAAGCGGAAGTTCGATGATGCGGACCACTCTGATCCGCTCACATGTGGCCTATGCTTGAAGACCAGCGAAGCTGAGGAATGCAGCCAATATCGACATTCCAAGACAGCAGAAACGCGCCGCCCAAAGGGCAAACGCTGCAAGAGTTGTGAGAACATGGTTCCTCCTTTGATGTATGGGGCTGAGCAACATCATTGATTGTCTTTTTGTGTAATTTTTTACTTTTTCAATGATGGCTTTCGAATGTCAAATGCTGGGGTAGAAAGACCCGTGAGTGATCACGAATGTCCCGCCTGAACATTAACATGCATGCCATTCTTCATCATATTTAGCAAAAATGAGCTCCCACTGTGTGAAGTGAAAGACCGAGCATGGAAACAATACCATGTTTAGACCGTCGCTGATATGGAAATACTTGGAAATATATGGAACCAATAGTTGGATGATGTGCAGAAAAATATCAACTGTTTTGCCATATATATATATAAATATATACACACATATATATATATGGAGGTTTCCTCAAATGGCGGGTACCGTACCCCAAAATGGATGGTTGATATTGGAAAATATTACTAAAATTGGATGATTTGGGAGTGCCCCTGATTTAGGAAACCACCATATGGAAATATTGGAACCTCCTGATTTTATGGAAACATCAAAAGTCACATGATATGGCCATATTGGGGTTAAAACAATAACCAGTTGGTTTTTGCAGGTAAGAACTTTAACCATATACCAAGATGGAATATATGAATATTCCGGATCTATGTATGTATATATTAATATCCTACAAGCTGGGGCTCCCAGTTACGATAGCAAAGCTGGGGCCCTCATAACTGCAATTATTTCCAACCATATCTAACGGGGTTTGGCTGCGTGGCCGCACATTGTGTGAAATATTGGAAGCTCCTGGTCATTTGGAAATATCAAGAGCTACATGGTTATATTTGGGTTACTAATCGGTTGTTAACTGGGATGCACATCCGAGTATAGATTGTCTTTGTTGTTTACCATCAGCTCTGATTGCCGGAGGGTAGTCACCTTGTCTTGCCATAGGCCAATCGGTCAACGTTGGTTCGGTGCGTGAAAATTTGTTTGTTTGCCATGTTGGCCTTTGTTTGGCAGCTGCGGATTGTGTTTTGTTTTGTCAGTTTGATGGGAACATAGATTAACCAGCAGAGAATGTTCAAAAAGCATGCCTTTGATCGTTGTTTACAAATGTTTTAGGTTTTATGTTTTTTGATCATAAATTAACCAACTTGGAATGTTGTAGGTCAAAAAACATGTTTCCTTTGATCATTGTTTACCAATGTTCCTTGGCACTTTGAGGGTGAAGGTACACTTTGAGGCGAAAAACGTTTTGATGCGCGCCCGATGAATGCAGCAGCTGGTCAACAACTAACCCATTTGGACATTGGGAATATCCTCATAATCCTAAAGATGATATAACTATAAGAGGTTCTTAAAACTATAAAGGTTTCGCCATATAATCCACATAAAACTATAAGGAGTTCTAAAATGATGGATCCACCCTGGAAACCTCCGGAAATCAAGGCGCCGCAGGTTTTCGAGCGACTCGCAGTGGCTTTTTTTCAGTGGCCTTGCAACAGTCGAGTACCCCCAAAATCCATCACGGTTAAATCATCACAAGGTGGTGCCCCCGGTCGATAGCTAAGTTGGTTTATAACTCCAATAAGTATGGTTTATAGGTGATATATCTATAGTTAATGGGATTATAAACCAACTTATACTTGGGGGGCACCACCTTACATTCACTTGGCAATTTTAGATAATTTTGGGTGGGATCAACCCACCATCTTTGGGTATACCCAGGTGTGGTTTTAAATGTCGTCCCTGCTTTCGAAAACGTCGCCGATCGCCACAGGCGACAATGGAAATGGACTTGCCATCCAGCATGCCACTGGGCTGATTTGTTCTTTCGGTTGGCCTCGAGTACCATAAAATGTCATTGCAATTAGGTTGGTTGGTTTAGTTTCACCCCGTGAGAATTAGAGATATAGCATTTTTTTTCCACCTAATCAACCGTAGTTCATGAATACTTTAGTTCGATCCCCCCAAATGAACCATAGGAAAAAACCAAGTCATAAGTCAATGTTGCTTTGCTAGGGGCCTAGCCTTGAAGGATTGCTACCCCATGTTTATTCACAATCTTGGAGACCTTGCAATAATACGCAAGAATGTGACATGTCCATGTTTAGATGATTGATAAAGGTACCCATTTATAGTTATGGCATGTTATAGCATTTTTTATTGACCTGATAAGGATAATAGATCCGAAGTATTGAAAAAGATGAAAGCTGAAGACAATGGACACGAATCGTAAAATGAAATCGACTACATGTAGTAATCGCTTTATCTTTGTCCATGTTTAGTACATTTTACAACTGCAAAACGTGTAACTGCAAAACAACATTAAAGATATTCGGACAACATTTTCCTTGTTGACTTCGCCCAACTTATTCAGGTTTGAGCCTCCTACTTCATGCCTGAGGGTGTATTGCCCAAGTCTGCATGCCATTGCGAAGGATTGCTTCGATTGTGTTCGTGCTGCCATCGGCAACGGCACAGATTGTCCAAGAGGCACCGTGAACAATCCGAAGTGGAATGCGTTTCTGTGGGAGAAGCATCATACAAGGTGGTGCCCCCCCAAGTATAAGTTGGTTTATCATCCCATTAACTATAGATATATCACCTATAACTATAAACCATACTTATTGGAGTTATAAACCAACTTAGCTATCGACCGGGGCACCGCCTTGTAAAGCAGCCAGGGTAATGCCTTTTTAGCTGCAGCATTGTCAAACGATGGATATCAATGCGAAGGATGTCACCGCAACAAACCCGAAAGGGCCGAGGTCTCCGCCGGCTCGCAGTCTGCAGATGATTCACGCAGTAACTCTTGCTACTGGGTGCGGGTTTCACCGTGTTCCCTTGATTTTGTTGTTGTTTCTATCGTCACTTAGGATGATGATTCCAGTTTGACAAGTGTGTATGTTTGCCAGCAACTGAAGCCATTATGATATACTTTTTGGGGTACACATTTCCATGGGTATATGTTCAAGATACTTCAATCAGGTTGGCGTGTTGAAGGGGCACATGTAAAGTGTTTGGGAGGCCCATATTGATTGCAAGAACACAGCACACAGGTCAAAGCAAAAGTCTACCAGCACTTGCAGGTGCTCATATGATGATGATTGCCCATGCAACCTTTAGTTTTGTCACAGAACATGAGGATACTCTAGCCCCATTCATATCTTGGTGTGATAATATCAGAATGCGATGTATTATGTGTTGTTATGTTTGATTGTTATATTATAATATATTATATTATGGTATATTATTTGTTTTTTTATGTTATATTATATTAAAGCATGTTATATTATATTAAAGCATGTTATATTATATTAAAGCATGTTATATTATATTAAAGCATGTTATATTATATTAAATCATGTTATATTACATTATCCTGGTTGCTCTGTGTCATATCCCCATTTTCTGGAAACATTATACTTGCCGCTTCCATTCCCCAAATCATTGCTGAAGCGGGCGACCCATTTTGATACAGACCCTGTCATTCATCCCGAAGTATCTATTGATTTAACATAATGTTGATGGAAGAAATCATGCACCAGTTGGCAACTAGTGGTAACTACGAAACACTGTAAATAATGGGGTTCGAACGGGATACACCATCTACCACGGGTGCAGGATTTCTTCCATTCACAGTACCACGTGCATATTATCATGGTTGGTATGTTAAATGTCCCCCCATTGATTCATCACTCTTTTGGCATATTATCATAGTTGGACCCTAATGTTCATTTAAGCTCCTTGGGTGATCATCACCATTAAATCCCATTGGATCCCAGTAAAATTACATGTTTTCCCAATATGAGGCCCAATATGTTCCAATGAAATTGGACGAACATTGGGGTTCATAAATCCCATAATTCATCACAGCTATGACCATGAGCAGTTATAATCGGAAATATAACTCCTATAACTAGTTTGTTATACTTAATGTGTTTATCCCATAAAAAAAAGCTGCTAATAGAAACCGCATTTATATCATTATAATACCATATATATCAGTATATTACAACCCCATTTTTCATTATTCCGTATATAATCATAATTTATTATAACTGAAAGATGTTAAGCATAATAATCAGATTGTCATATATATATATATATTCATAAATATATATATATATTCATAATATATATTTTAAATGATAGAATTTCATCATAATAATCATTATACCATATATAATTATTATATATATACTAAGTGACAGATAATAACTATAAGAATCAGTATACAAATATAATTGTGATATAGTTTAACTGATAGACTGTAATCACAATCATCATTAACCTTATATAACCGTAAAATATTATAACTGATGGATTACCCATGACAATCATTGTACATATATGTTCATAGTATTATAGCTGATAGATTATGATTATAATAATCTGTTTGAAAATATAATCATTATATACTAAAACTGATGGATTAGAGTTAAAATCATCAGTGTACACATATAATCATAATACATTATGATATTTTTAATAGTATTTATAACATATGTTAATCCCAAAAATAGATATGGTATCATTAAATAATGATAAAAACAATATTATAAAATATCATTACATATATAATCCAATAAAAATATCATATAGCTGATTGGGCCACAACTGTGTCAAAGGTCAGGAGATTTGCAGATCATCGCCATGCACAGCGCGGCGAACCTTCCGACTCTAGCTGCCTCGGCGAAGTTTTCAAGGCGAAGTAGGTAGGATTTAAGTGGGGTTTAATGAGGTTTGAGTGGGGGTTAAGTGGGGGTTAATGGTGTTTAAGTGGTGTTTAATTGGTTTTAATGAGGTTGAATGAAGTTGAATGGAGTTTGATGTGGGTATGATGGGAGTTTAATGCGATGTACCCTCTGGATTAGCTAACATCGGCTCTGAAAACATGTGAAAACAGCCCCCATCTTCCACCTCTTCTATTTGGCAGGTGCGCGACGCTGTTGACCTACAGATCGCTCATATGGTTTCAGTACTTGAAGGATCATTCCACGCATAGTAAGTCAGGAACTACTTGGTGGCTCATCCCACGAATTGTAAGTGAGTTATAACCCCAATTATAAGTGGATTAACCCTACTTATCCCATTTGTAACTGGGGCTATAACCCACTTACTAAGTGGGATGAGCCACCAAGTAGTCACTTGTTTCAAACATATTCATACAAATATGGGATACCTACTGATCACTCATCACAGGCTTGTTCCATTGAAGGTAAATGACCGCAACAAAGTTATGGGGAACATTGATAATTGTTACCTCTTTCTCATTATTTTATCTACAAGATGAGGCCCCCCAGTTAGAAGATGATTATATATACCAAATAGAACTATCGTTAATGTGTCCCATTGGGCCAACCAGTTATAAGTTGGTTTCTAAACCCCAGTAACTATAGTTATAAGTACCATAAACCATAGTGAAATTGGAGTTATGTTCACCAACTTAGCTATCGTTTAGGGGTCCCACTTTGTATGTCCCATAAACCCATAGACTTCACCAAGTGATTTTTGTCCTCACCTCGTAGGCCTCTGATGCTTCCCTTCAATCTCAGCTGCAGTTTCTCCAAACAAGAGGCGCCGCAGGGTCGACTTGGGGGGACTTCACCTGAAAGCCTTCATTGGGGATGTTACCCTCTGGTAATGACTAACAGTTTGCGAACTTGAACATGGCCCAGTCGAAAAAGTTGATTTACCTATTAAAAATGGTGATTCTCCATGGTTATGTGGCTGTTTACCAAAGGGTACATGGTGCCTCATCCCACTTAGTAAGTGGGTTATAACTTCAATTATGGGTGGATTAACCCTACTTATCCCATTTATAACTGGGGTTATAACCTATTTACTAAGTGGGGTGAGCCACCAAGTATGGTTTTGAAAGGGTAAATAGGTAACATGATTTGCGTGGCCGTTCCGCAATGGTCTGACGCTGCTTTGTAGTGGAGATGGTCTACACAGCGCGGAAACCACTGCCGCAACTGAAAGTTGGTCACCAATCGGCCACAAAGTGTGGTTTTGGTGGTGTATAACTTGGGGAATTCCAGGGTTGTTGGTGGATATCATTCATTTATATATATATATATAGATGAATTCAGATGTGTTCATGGAGTTTTATAAACCAACAAAAACTCGGAGGCCTTGCGCCATGTGTTGGGGTCTGATTTCACCAAGAGTCTGTTGTGGGGAAGCAATGCAACCACCTCGCTGTGACGTCATCAGGCCATTTTTTGGGGTTTAAATTCGGACTAGTTTTTTTTTCAGATGGGTTGCAATATATCCAGATAGTTGTAAAATTCGAATTTTCCAGTATCTAATGTTTTATGTTTCATGAATGAATTTAGATAGATTTACCACCAGAATGGTCATAATACCTGCCAAAGGCAGCAGCAACGAGTGGTGACAGAATCGAATTCCCTGCAGTGGTCCGATCATCGCTCGCGTTGGCAGATGGACATCGATGGATTAATAGTTTGTAAGGATCAATGATGTAACCAATAATGTCCTTTTGGTAAAAATAGAGGGGCTGGCTTGGTATACCATCTATCATCATTTACTAGAGGGGTTTCTTCAAATCCCTCTATTAACCAACCAACCAATGGGAAAAGGACATCTATGGATGTCACCACTACAGGCATTGCCAACAGAGTGACGATATTCAGTGCTCATATAAATGCTATCTGAATCTAACAAGCGAAATTTGCGAGTTCATCATCATGCGACGGCAAGCAGACCATTTGCTGTGTTAAGTTATGTGTTGTTTGATGTTATTTGGCTAAATTGTGCAAAGCTATCATATCTATGACATTGTTTTTAAATATACATAGTATATATACACACACACATATTGGAACAATTGGGCCAAATTATGGCAAACAAAATGTTTAAAATAGGTTTGAGTAAAAATAGGGCACCGCAAAATTTGATGTCTGGTTAACATGTTGACATTTAAAGACTATAAATTGATATTATGGGGTCTACCGACGGTATACCCCTAGTTAGTAAGTGGGTTCTAACTCACAACGTGTATTTGGTCATACAATACTGTAACCACTTTCACTTATATTGTGTCTATATCCCACACAAGTTGTACCGCAGATCCAAACTGGTGGTGTCCGTAGATGGCTAATTGGACGATAACTTGATTAACTAGGGTTTCAGAGGTTTATGGCAGATACGTCTATACTTAGTGGGGATTACCAAGTAACAAACATACAATGTGGGCCTCCCCCAGTGATGTTTGTTGGTTCATAAACCCTAGTAACTAGTTCGTTATAAGTATCATAAACCTAGTTATTGGAGTTATTAACCAACTATGTTTGTTAGTTTATAATCCCATGAGAACGTTCGTTCGATATCTCCACTACCATAGTGAGTTATTGGACTTCTGTGGCCACCAGTCGCGATGACTCGTGGCGTTTCAGGAGGGCCTCGGGGGCACTTCGCAGATCCGCCAGGTTTTGCCCGGAGAGGATCTCACAGTGCAGCTGCAGGAGGGGATGTGGAGCGGTGGATGCGTTCAACAACTGGTGGTTGATGAGTCTCATCAAATTATGAACCAATCAGTTAGTAGTGGTTAGTAGTGGTTAGTAGTGGTTAGTAGTGGTTAGTAGTGGTTAGTAGTGGTTAGTAGTAGTGGTTAGTGAGTTTAACAACTGGTGGTTTAACTGATTGATCCTAACTAGTCTTTTGCTATCAATGGGAATACACCAGCTAAGAATTTGTCATTGTTGGCAGGCTGTCTAAGATTGGCAATGAAATAATCCAGGTTTTAACATGTTTTAAGCATCAAGAATTTGGAGATATAGTATTATAGTATATTATAGTTAATAAATGATGGTTGCTTGATGATTAGTTCGGGGGTTATACTACCATTCATATATTGGGGATTACACTAATCCAAGAACGGGGCGAAGAAACCAGGGTTGGCAAGCACTTATCAACTACGTCAATCTTAGATGTGTAGTTTAATCCTTTAGTCTTTTGGTATCAATTGGATTAACTACGTTCACCAGCTAAGAACTTATTTTCTTGCAGGGTATCTAAGATTGGCCATGGAAGCCCCAAATCACTTAAGTCATGTCATGGACCATGGCTGAAAGCCATGGTTTTACCTGGGGATCCGCCACGAGAATATACTACTTAGGCTGTAATGTAAATATAAAATATATATATATATGTAATACCCACTTTGAACTTTGGGTACTTACTAACCAGGGTTTTTAGATAACTATAGTGATTTAACGGAAGTTGAAAAACCCCCTTCAAAATATGGGAATATAGTGTGATATAGTTGATGAATGATGGCACAGTGTGGGCCCTCCCCAGTTATAAGTTGGTTTATATCCCCATGAGTACTCTAGCTACAAGTAACATAAACCAGAGTTATCGGGGGTTATTAAACGAACTTAGCTACCTTTTAGCTATCTATGGGGCCCACTTTTTACCAAAACCTGTAATATATACGATTATATAAGCTATCTTTGCCATGTCTTGCAATATTAGCGTATTTACATCTATTTACGTATGCATTGGCCACAAAAACCATGTGAAATTTTGTGAATCAATCATTTCATTGTGTCACCATGATAACCATATATAACCATTACATCACGTGAAATACCCTCTGGTAAATTAACATAACTATGGAAAATCACAATTTTAATGGGTAAATCCTCTATAAATTGGTCATTTTCCAGTTCACTATGTTAGTTTACCAGAGGGTACCCCCATTGTATCTCAGTCATATCCAAGTACTTGGTGGCTCATCCCACTTAGTAAGTGGGTTGTAACCCCAGTTATAAATGGGATAAGTAGGGTTAATCCACTTATAACTGGGGTTATAACCCACTTACTAAGTGGGATGAGCCACCAAGTATGCTTGGTGGTTTTTTTCCGAACAGCTTGGATATCATTCGCCAGCCTCACTGCGGCGGATGTTTCGTTTTCGAAGGCACGTTAACACCACTGCACCACTTTCGAACAGAAATCCCCAAGTACCCTGTGGTAATTTAACATGGCTATTGAAAATCACCATTTTTAATAGGTAAACCATCTATAAATGGGCCATTTTCCATAGCTATGTTAGTTTACCAGACAATTCATGATCCAGTGTTGGCTTCATTTCTTTTCATATTGTAAGGATAATACAGACACGGTGAGTTTCACGATAAGTATCGATATGCGATCGAACTTTAGTCATTTTACCTACGCACGCGCCGGGGCAAGACTTGGAGAATCAACATGCTCAAGACATCAATGCCGCACATGCGGCAGAGTCCGAAGAACATCGCTTGAGTGAGTGATCTTGCATACCTACTTATTTGGCGGCAATCTTTCACAAATCGTGACACCAAGTCATCAAGCCTTGCCTGTGACATGGAAGCCATGGCAATTTTCGATGATAATCGAAAGATTTGCCAAGAGTGCTTGGACGGGGGGTTGAAAGTGTACCCCATCCACACCCAGCAGCAACAAGCCCACAGCTGGATTAGCTCAGCTGATTGGATACCCACGAACACATCCTCACCCAGCCAAGCCATGGAAGGCTCATGTATAAACTAGTTATGGATACTCATTAAACTAGATAGTCACCAACTCGAGATGATATAATCCGCAACAATCCATTGACTAGTTGGTCAATAGCCAATAACCGGACGTGTTAGTGGGATAAGACGCTGTCACATCCCATTGCATCGAAATATCCATCAGAGTTGTTTACCTTCTGGTAAACTAACATAGCTATTGAAAATGACCATTTATAGTGGATTTACCCATAAACAATTGCGATTTTCCATAGTTACGTTAGTTTACCAGAGGGTAAGCCATTTTTCAAATTGCTAACCATTGTTAAACCACGTCAAACCAAGTATTATCCCAATATCAGGATGGTTTAGCCACCTAAAACCCACCATTTAAATCATATTTAAACCATGTCAAACCACGTGGAAGTACTTGTTACACCACCATTTTTCGATGGCTAAACCACCACTTTCGATGATGTAACAATAGTAAAACCATGTAAAACCCCATTTTTCATGGGTTTCTAGTGGTATAATCCAGCTTGAAGCACCTTAAAACCACCAGTTTCTTGCTCCAACCGCGAGGCCACGACGGGCCAAGCTGGGCGCGCCTTTGTCGCCTCCCTGGACCGCTCGGCGGAGCTGCTGGGAAAGCGCGCCGCGGTGTCGCAGTGCCTTGCCGTGACATGGGGTGGTATGGAACATTCATATAATGTGGGGCCCCCCAGTTGTAAGTTTGGTTGGTCGTTTGGAACATTTTTGATGAATGTCCATTCAGTTGGGAATTTCATAATCCCAAGTGACTTTTCTATTTTTCAGAGGGGTTGAAACCACCAAGCAGTGAATAGTTGATATAATGAGGGTAAAACAGTGCCATAAACAATCCATGACTGGGAATGGTAAACATAGCACCCATAAAAATGATGATTTGGGGGACATTAATGATACATAAGTATTGGGACAAGGCAATATACAGTTATAATCGTCATTGATATGTTTGTCTCAATGACTTATGTCTCAATGATACATGACCTGCAGTTGAGGCCATTTACCAGTTATAAATAATTATAAACTGTTTCAAATATTGTTTTATTTCCATAAATGGCTTGATAACTGACTTATAACTGGTAAAGGGACATAACTGCATCATATTGAATGAGACATAAGTTTGAGACAAGGCAATATACACTAATAATATATGCATTGACATGTTTGTCTCAATGACTTATGTCTCAATGATATATTATTGAATATTATGAATACATTATTGGCAAGTATTTAAATCCCATGATGTGGGTAGAACAAGTGGGATATGCATATATAGTTGGTTTACCATTGGGACACGAATAGTTGATTTACCCGCTAAAAAATGGTGATTTTCCAGATCGCTATATTAGTTTATCAGGTGGTAAATCCCTATTAATGTGGATAACACAATTTCATAAACCATCCCCCAGTCATCACCATTTTTCTAGGTGGTATACACCATTCCCAAATGGGTGGTTTATTATTGTTGTAGCCATATATATATATATGCTACATATATATATATGTATATATAAAATGCCCCAAATATCCTTAAGTGGACATATCAAAATGTAATGTAATGGGATATGAACAGATTAAATGTATATGTCCCAAGAGGTTTGCTGAGATACAATTGAAAAGATGGTGGTTATTCATGGCCAACTGTAGTTGGTGAATTGTGGTTCATTCAGGGAATAAAAGTATGGTTAAACTTGAGACATCCAACAGTATAATGTGTTTTATGGTTGGTTATCTTACCAAAAAGGTGGTATATCTTGGGGAGCATGGGAGAGAATGAGAACATTATGTGGTTTGATGCAGCCAGGTAATACTTCCATGGTTGATTAAGAGAATTTGACTATAGCTCATTGGGGTTATAAACAAACCTTCGTAGGATATCAAGTCGATGTTATCGAATAACCAACATATTTAGGATCTCTCATGAGAAAAATGTGATTTAATGGGATTTGATACCGATACCCCATACCTGTAGATCATTTCCAAAATAATGAGGCTATACAACCCACCATAGTCGGATATGAATGGGTATATATCAGCGATATGAATATAGACACATATAGTTAATTATATATACATATAACATTTCATCATACATGAAGACAATAATGGTAGTGTGGGCAGCCCAAAAATAAACCCAATAATAAACCTAGCATTTGGGGATGGTTGGAAAACCACCTTTTGTTTATTTTGGGATGGTTTATGGCGTTGAGGGGATAAAGGGACATACAGATATATTATGTCAATATTGTGGGATGTATATTGTGTCATGATATTTTATTGGAATTAATAGGATATACTGATGGCAAGTACACGGTGGGGCTCCCAACAGATAGCTAAATTCATTCTAACTAGGTGAACTATGGTTTTTGCAGTGCCATAAATTAGAGGTATATGGTGGTTTTATAAATTAGAGGTACATGGTGGTTTTATATACCAGACAGTACTCGTAGTTCGGAAACAACACCAACAATATGGGGATCTAAGCCGTGTTTTGTCGGGAACATGGAAGAAGATATTTGCGGTGCGGGGATGGTTTGGGAGAATATACACCATATATTTGAGTGGGAAAATCCACTTCTTGGCAATGATGATGGTGATTTAAGCAACATAAATTAATTGATATCACGTGAATTTCATAGAATGGGAAGGTATGGGTTTATGTTTTATGGAGATATGATGGGGAGATATAATGGGAATATAACGGAAAAATGCGTGGATACTATAATGGCAAAAAGATGGGGATATACAACAAAAAGGCAATTTCGTATGGAAAATGGTGACATAGGGAAAATATGGTAACAAAGTTTTTGGTGTTTGGGGTGAGCAAGAGGCAATATGGGGATAAACTATTTGAGTTTCTTCCAATAATCGGGTATATAATGGGATTTACAGAACACCAACCACAGATGACTTCCGCTTGCCTCTGTAACCACTACTTGGTGGCGAACTACCCACGAATCGTAAGTGGGTTAGTTCACCCCAGTTATAAATGGGATAAGTAGGGTTAATCCACTTATAACTGGGGTGAACTAACCCACTTACGATTCGTGGGATGAGCCACCAAGTAGTGGTCGCAACATGCTTGCCGCCAGCAACTGCAACTGCTTAACGTCGCTTTCTGCATCATCCTTCGCCACACTGAAACACCACCCAGCTGAAAGACGAACCGTGCTTGCCGGCAGGAGCTGCCATTGCCTAACGCCACCTTCTGAATCGTCAAGAAAGAAGCTCCAAAATGCAGCTGCCATCCCTTCGCCACACTTTCTGTGTACTTGTGTTTCTCCTCTTGCTGCTTGTAATTTCTTCCCTGACGCGCTTTCGGCAGCAGGGTTCGGCGGACAATTGCCCAATGGAGATAACACGGAAATATGATGGGGATATGATATGTGGAATAATGGAAGTATAATGGGTTCACAATCAAGAAACTGATGGCATTTTTTTTGCCATCGAAAAGGTTGGATGTTTTGTTGTAAAAAACACATCTACTGGTTTCATAGCTGGAGAAAACCGTGGATGGGTAGGTTTGTACTTTCTAGGAAGCCGTGCGTCTGATAATGTGGTATATCCAGAAATTTGGGTACCCCATTTCAGACTTTATATATGGATGATCGAGCTGCCGCTGCAAGGGATATCCCTTCATTGCGATCCTTTTTGCATGTATGGCAAGAGTTCGAAAACATGGTGCGGTTAAAGACCCACCCAGGGAAGACGCAGCTTGGTGCCCGCACACCAGCAGCCTTGCAAGAGATGCAGCGGGCGGGTTTTGACGCTGAAGAAACGGTCCAAGTTTTAGGGATGACCATAGGCATGCCGGGAAGAGGTCCAAGCAATAGTGAAATGGAAAGATTAGCAGCGGCGGGTAGGAAAGCGGATGAGCTCAGCACATTGCCAATACGAATGGAGACATAAGTGGTTATAACCTTCAAAAGTGGGGATATCATGATATTCTCAACATCTATGAGTAGGAATATGACTGGGAATTTATGTGGATAACATGAGATTGTTTGAAAACAAAGTAGACACCTAATCTCATGTGGTGGTAGTATACCCCATTTTCAGACACCCAAATGTTGCTCTCCATTGGCAACTTCCGAGGTCCTCAATCCTTGCTTCATTGCAAAGCAAAAGCGACGCAAAAGCTGCCACGCCAGTGGCAGGGAAAGCATGGCGCCACTGCCGGGTGCCTCAAGTCTGCGGCGATGGCCCAAGTTCCCGAGGGATGCATAACAATTAGGAAGTGGTTAGCCACCGATGATTGGGGTATTGGATCAATGTATATACATACATACATAGATAGATAGATAGATAGATAGATAGATAGAAAGGTAGAAAGATAGAAAGATAGATACACATATATATATATATACATGTTTATACATACATATATATATATATAATATCCCGGCAAGAGACCCCGAACAGTGTGGGGGGAGTAGAAAGATAATGTATTAGAATGTTGATGATGATGTTAATGAATGCTGAAGACAATGTTGATGATGATGGTGATGATGATGATGATGCTGATGATGCGAGGAAGATGATGAGGTTGATGCGGAGGAGGAGGAAGATGATGAGGTTGAGGAGGATGATGTTGAGGAGGAAGACTGATCCCAAGACCGGGAAGCACACTTTGTGCCAGCCTGCGCAGGCGACATGCGCATGGACATTTTAGAAGAGCCATTTTGTATGGAAATTTACCGGCAAAATGGCCGCGGACACCTCCGGGGACATCCTTTTAGTGCGAGCCTGTGCAGTCGAAATGGACATCGACATTTCACAAGAACCATTCTGTGTTAAAATTTACAGGGAAAATACAAAACGCCCCGGAGACCACCTCGATTAAACACCGGGCCTTAACACCTACCGTAAGAACCCCTCAGTGTTGCCACACTGTTTGGGGAATATTTTGTAAATATATATATACACATAGACACATATATACAGGTGTATATATATATACATATCTATGTATATATACACATATATTTATATTTACATATATGTATTTTACACATATATATATATTTATTTATTTATTTATTTACACATATACATATATATATATTTACATACACATTTACATAAGTATATATATACATACATATACATAAATACAGTTTTTCATACGAGCATGAACTGCTACAAATTGTTTATATAGTTTTCTTTGATTGTTTCCTACCTCCTGACAGGGGTGCTTACTGACTGGGTCGCACACATCCAAGTGAGGCGTGCCAGTTTGCTTAGTTGTTTCCCAAATATCAGATGGTTTTGTTTGAAAAAAGGCTACCCCATATTCACATGGTTTTCCATCACTTTCTCTAACAACATTTTTTTGAGGCAAACCCACATCATCCCAGACCGCAAAAGGTGTCTTCTGTATAGTATGGTGTGTTTGTTTTTTCAGTTTCACCCATGTTTGGGAAAACTGTTTTATGTAGCCACTAAGTTTTCAAGTTTCGGTTTTCAGACATGATGTGCCATCGTTTTGCGAAACTGATGTGGTAATCTCATGCAATCTCCAGAGTCATCCATGCTTGGTTTGGCCGCCGTGAGGTGTGCGCGGTGATGATCTCATGGTGCGGATGCCCGGGGTATGTGTCACAAGTGGGTATAGTAACCCCACAAAAGATAGAAAGGGAAATTCATAGTAAAATGGTGATGAACTATGATGATTTTCCGAAAATTGCTATGATTGCCCCGAATGGATGAGCACACCATGGTCGTGAAGGATGATGGCGAAGAAGTTCCTGGAATCCTCTTCAATTTGGAGCTCATCACTGCAAGCGATGTCAGCGACATAGTGAGATGCTTCAGAGTGGAGAAAAAAATCAGTGACTACGCCACCAGGATCAACAAGGTGTGTCGCGGGATGGCAAGCTGTGCAAATGTTCCGATGGATCACCATCGCAGACCCGCAACCCCTGCTGGACGGTGTGCCCGCCTCCCCGAGGCCGGGCGGCCACAGTCGCAAACCCGGTGCAGCTTGAGAGGGTGAAGGGCCTGTACCCTCCAAGCATCTACTGCCAACAATCGACTCGGCTTGAGGCCATGATTCTTGGCAGCATATAGGATGAGCGTGTGCCATGCGGTGCTTTTCCCCGAATGTGTAACGAAGGGTTCCCGTTTTCTGGGGGTCTGGGGGCTAGACCGTTGTTCGCCTCCAGTTGGTCGCCGCGACGTTTTTCGCGACGTTTTCGCATCGTTTTTCGCGTCGTTTTCGCGTCGTAAATTCCGTGTCTATGGGGAAAGCTGCAAAACCTCGATCGTTTTGATGCGCTCACGTCGCCGTGTCTATGGAGTAAGCTGCAAAACCTCAGTCTCTGCTTCTCCTCTGGCGTCGCCGTGTCTATGGGGGAAGCTGCAAAACCTCAGTCTCTGCTTCTCCTCTGGCGTCGCCGTGTCTTTGGGGAAAGCTGCAAAACCTCCGTGCCTGCTTGTCCTCTGTCGTCGCCGTGTCTATGGGGGAAGCTGCAAAACCTCGTTCGTTTTGCTGCGCTCACGTCGCCGTGTCTATGGGGGAAGCTGCCAAACATCGTTCTGGTGTCGCCGTGTCTATGGGGGAAGCTGCAAACCTTCGTCCGCTTGTCCTCTGGCGTCGCCGTGTCTTTGGGGGAAGCTGCAAAACCTCGTTCTAGCGTCGCCGTGTCTATGGGGGAAGCTGCAAACCTTCGTCTCTGCTTGTCCTCTGGCGTCGCGGTGTCTTTGGGGAAAGCTACAAAATTTCGGTGGTTTTGATGCGCTGACGTCGCCGTGTCTATGGGGTACACAGTACTATACTGGGAATGACTTTGCGCAAGCTTTGTAGTACACAGTATCTGGGAACGTGTTTCTGCAAGCTTTGTAGTACACAGTAGTACTGGGAGCGTGTTTGTGCAAGCGGTTTCAATCAAACTGAGCAAACCACTGGTGCCGTTCGGGTTTAAGACATTGATTAAAATGGTGTTCGTGGGTTGGTAGGATTTTGGGCACAAAACAAACATTTCTGCATGTGGTGGATCCACCAATTACACGGGGAAGCAGCCCAGTTACACGTTACGTTTACAAACCCCATCAATACTATGTTGATTGCGGGAAAGTGACGCATGCAGCGCAACAAGATAGTTAAATTCCCCATCAGCCATGGAATTCACCAAGTTATTTGCGTTAAGTTAGCCAAACGGGGACCTCTCCTTGTAGTTTTGGTTTCCCGAGTTTTCCAGTGCCATTTGGTCGTAATTCCTAAGGTCACCGTGTATCACCATACTCCATGGTTGTTGCCTGTTGCTGGCAATGATTTTCTTAATAGACACGGAATATCACCCCTTCTTTTTTTTTCTCGTGATAGATGTGATAGCTTACACTTGCTGGTTTGATTGCTTCACCCTTGACAAGTCCAAGTAACACAGTTAGTTCGTAGTAGATTCCCAAATCCAAAAATGCAATGACTGAAAACAACTTACTTGTATTTAGCTGTATTTTTGTATTTTTTTTTGGGCCTTCAACGAGAAAACACCCAAAAAAAAAGGAAGGATAAACGAGGAAAAAATATATCTTTTTCTTTCTGATATCTTTAAAAAACTCACAGAACTCCTATTCAAGAAAAGTAGCTTCTTGGTGAGCAACATTGAGAGGAATGTTCCAAAGGCCAAGATAAAGCCAAGCTTGCAACTTAGTCACAACAAATTCTGACAGTGTCTGCAACACCAACTTCCATAAAATATCTCAAGAGCCCTGGCAACGCTTTTTTTCTTCCTGGCACACGAGTTTTGCAAATATCTTCTACATTTAATTAAGCTGAATTAAGATCCGAACAAATCTCTTGTGGCCGAACCAGCCACCAGCCGACAGATCCGAAACAGACCTTGGCCGAAACAGCCATATCAAGCCGACTTCAGCTTGTCTTCTCTTTGGACGAGCCATCTTTCGCCCATTCGACGAATGAGTGCCTTCTTGACATACATCATGAGAGGCTCAGCAGATTCCCATTTGCTGCTTTTCAAAGTGCAGTACTTCTGGAATAATTTTTCGATCGGCAACGTTCTAGCCATTCTTGTTTGGATCAAGCGCAAATCCCTTTCAGCCTGCTTGACTTCACATCTCTGTTTGCGAATTGGATCCTTGGGCACCAGAAACTGCACAGGAGGCTGATTCGTCATGCGCTTGAGCTGAAAGGGCTGCAGGGGGGACATGTTGCCTCAATTGTCATTTATATAGTTTTTCATAGTTTCTTGTCAAGTAGAACTCAAGTACCAAAATGAAGATTTAATTGCGTTAATTTGCAGGGGGTCTATACACTTGCAGCGGCGCGACTTTTGCACTCTTCCAGTGCATGGTCAAAACTGTCACGCCCAACTCAGCAGCAAAAACAGACTATGGGTGCCGAAGCAGCACCTAGCTAGCCGAACCAGCTACTCGTCGTTGAAGGGGTCCCACACATCTTCTTCTTCGTCCTCTTCCTCACCGCCTTGATTCTCGTCGTCGTCATTGTTTTTGTCATCGTCGTCGTCTGCCGGCTCTTTGTCTTTCTCTGCGGCTCGGCTACCCCGCTTTCTTGTCGACTTAGCTTTCGGCTTGGCTTTGGCCTTCTTTTTTGGCACGGGCTTCGGATTTTTCTTTTTCAACTCTTCTTCACCAGGCAAGGCCGAAGCAGTCCTGCAACCGACAGCTTCGCAGTAGGCAGCTGAGAAAAGAGAGCTTCCGCTGTTTCTCATTTCCATCTCCAGGACTTCCAGCAGGCGTTCTTCCAGCAGACTTTGGTGTTCAGGATTGTAGCACACACCGACATACCCCACACGACTTTTTATGGCCGAAACAGCCATTTTGCCGTCTGATGGTGTAAGATCCAAAATGAGCTTGACGTAAAAGTCATGAATCAGCTCTGCGTAAAATTCTTCTGGCGGACTGTGAAAACAGACTGGTTCCTTTCCATTGTTTCTTCGGTCAGCATACGGAGTTTGGTCATCGGCGCCTTCGGTTTTTGAACCCACTGCAATGAGGTGCTTCTTGCCGTAAAGATCCTTTTTCATTTTCCACGGCAATTGCCATTCTTCGTTCCACCCTGGTAGGTGCACGTTGCAAATCAAGTCTCCATTTGTCGACCCTGCGTAATGAAGTCTTTCTTTGACTGGCAGTGAAAGTTTCTTTGTGCTGAGGACATGGCACCATTCGATCTGCTTCAAGTTGAAATTTCCTCGCAACCTCTTCTTGCGGGCGGCCAAAGAACTTTCAGAGTAGGCGATCTGCAACAAGTCGGCGAAAAAGGTTGGTTTGCCATCGTCTTCTTCCATGTCTGCTTCTGCACCGTCTTCTTCAGCGTCATCGTCAGCATTCTTGGAAGCAGTTCCTTCTCGCCATGGATGCAGCAACTTGTTCTTCAGGCCGCGTTTGCCACCATCTAAAATCAATGCAACTTCTCCAGCCTGAAGATTTGAGTTTTGCAATCCTTGCGCGGCGCTGCGTGCTGCCAGGATCGATTTGACCAGGCGGCCGTACAATGCTTCACGGAATGTCGGCACACGAACGTCTGGACGAGTTGTCGGCTCGCCGTACTTCTTCAGATCGAAATGGTAAAGGCACAAACCTGTTTGATCTCCCCGGAGGGAAATGAAAGGTGTGTCTTTGAGAGCTTCTTCAAGTTCAGCGCTGGATTTGTGGTCACAAACAAATCAGACATGCTGCTGCAAAACTTTGCGCATCTGTTGCCGCCACAATGTTTGATCCTCTGTTGAAAGGCGGTCGAAAGGCTTGGCTGGAGCAGATTCAGCCGGAGCAGCGTCAGAAGCCGAAGCAGCTTCAGAGGCCGCAGCAGCCGGTGCAGTAGCCGGAGCAGCTGGCGCCGTCTCCTCCACAGTGACAGGCTCTGCAGACTTTTCCGGTTTCAGTTCTGATCGCACAGCTGCTTCCAATTCTTGCAAGACTGACTTCACCGTCGGATATTCCAACAAATCAGCTACGTCATGTTTCATTTTGATTCCATCTTTGTAGCGGCCGTCGAACTCGTTTCCATAAATGATCTGGTCAAAGAATTCTGCGATTCGAAGCACGCCGACCGGAGCAGCCAGCATCCATGCAGTGTCCACCGGATCTCCTGGAAATGGCGCAAAAAAATTGCGACATGCATCGAAGGAGGTGAAGCTGTTTGACAGTTTCTTCTTCCATTCGTCATTGATGGGCAGCGAGTTGAGCCAGTCACCGAGGAGGTAGTCACGAACTTTTCTTTTCAATTTCAAAACTTCCACATAGCTTGCCCTGTATCCTTCAGCTTGGCGATCACAAAAACCCCTGGGTCTAAGTGACCCATGCGCCAGCCGTCCACCAACCCCTGGAGGCACCACGAAATCATTTCAGGTGTGTTTGCTCGGTCCACCAGAGCTTGCAGTGCATATATCGATTTCCATGGGCTCTTGTCCAACAGCTGTGCATCGCATTGCTCGAGCACTTTGCAGCATGCATCTTGGCTCAATACACGGTTGTATATAGTCAGCGCGCTGTCCACAAATGACTCTGACATTTTTTCCTGATTGCTTGCTAGCTTCACTTGGGCACAGTAGAGGGCTGCGAGTTTTTTACTACCGACAATACCATCCGTGGTTTTTTTGGCTTCAGCAAACCCAGCAATGTCGTAGATGCGCTGTCTCAAGCTCATTTGCACCGCCAAACCTTTTTCAACCTGCTCCTCTCGAATATTTAGACTCCTAAAGTATCGAGCTTCACCCACAGGCACAACTTCATAGACGAAAGTGCATGTCAAGAAGCAAGATTTAAAGGCTTGCAGCACATTGGCGCCCTGTTTCGACTTGATTGCTTCAGCTGCCGCAAACAGCAGCGCATGCACGGGCTCGGCCGGACTCAGCCGTGGCCACCCCGATTGCGGAGGATCGCCAGAGCACTTATGGGAATCCACTGCAACTGTGACAACAAAGGGACACAGCTTGGGAGGCTCGTCATCCTTGGGAAACCAATAGTTTTGAATCTGTTTCACTTGGCCCAAATTGATAGGGATCTTATGGGTCGCAA